TATTAGATAAATCATACTAAATAAAAAAAATTAACTAAAATTTAATAATTTTATAAATAATAAGAGAAAGTCATATAAGAAATCTCATAAAACTTGTCATAGTTTTGTTACTAAATTTCCCAAATAATAAATGAAAACAAAACAATCCAAGGAATTTTGACATAAGCACATCATCCATGCATTTACCTTTTGTTTGATTTAAGGGAAACAAAGTCCCCTCCACTTGTTTGAATAGACTAAAATGTAAAATAATAATAATAATAATAATAAAGGAAGGAAAAACCTCACTTCTCCTCATTTCTCCTCCAATTTTTTATTATCCAAATAGAGAAGCTTTTCTTTCTTTCCTCTCCTTTAAACCAAAAAAGACATTAATGCTAACTCTTAATTAACCAATAAAAGAAACAATAGCATTCTCAGTATTTAACAAGGATGATTTTGTTTCAAATTCTCAATAATTATGAATATTTTAATGGTTAGTAGGGAGATATTAGCAATGGTAGTAAAGCCCACATGATGAAGAGCACTCCCCATCCCCATGGTGTTTTTTTGAAGGAGAAAAAAATCTTCTCTCATCTCAATTTATAGTAATTTATAAAAATTTATCATATGATTTTTTTCTTTACAATATTAAATAGAAAATATGTTGAGTAGTTAAATTAAACTTGAATTGTATAATGAATATTTGGTTTTATCATTGAAATGAATGATAAATTAAGTAAATACATTAAAATTTGTTAAAGTGTCGATTAAACCCAATTTACAATAATTTATAAAAAAAATTATTGTATTGTTAAAGGTACATTAAATGGAGTCCCCATGAGAGGAAAGGGAAATTGCCACATTTAAATAATATATTTGGTTTGAAAGAAATAGATGAAAGAGAACAAATGAGCTTTTCTTTTTTTCTTTTTTTTTTGGTGATTCAAATTTCCTAGCTTTTACTTCCACTAGGATCAAATTATCATTGAGTTACATAGGTCGTTCATAAAAAAAATATGTTTTATAATCAATCGAATTATAATATTTTCAAATATTACAATTTGATTGGTTGACAAAGCTTTTTCAAATAAAGCTTCACACTTTAATTTTATAAATATTATATAATCACTATTTCAATTTTGTCAAATGGTATTAATAAAACTTAAAAAAATAATATAAAAAAAATAAAATTATGATCACACTCTAAATAATTAATACCATATTATTTTAATATAATTATCTATGTTACCTTCACCTTGCATTTTTTCTCAAATCTTCTTATCTCTTTTTCAAGTCTTTTTCAAGTATAGAACTAATAACTTAAACAGTAACAAAGCAGCGGACGGGCCCCAGGAGGGAGGACCATTTTTGTCTTTTAGATCCCGGCTTGGTACTAGTATTCTCTTGTTCGGAGTAATTTCCAACTTATAATATATTAATAAGTTTTTATTATAAATATTTCCTTTTCCAATTTTTTTTTAAGGATAGAACTAATAACTTAAACAGTAACAAAGCAGGGACGGGCCCCACGAGAGAGGACTATTTTTGTCTTTTAGATCCCGCGTTGGTAGCAGTCTTCTTTTATTCGGGGTTATTTTTAACCTATAATATATTAATGAGTTTTTTTTTAAATATTAA